CCCTCCCCCCCAAACCCCCCAGCTGCCCCCCAGCAAAGCCACAGATGGCCAGTGGTCAGAATTACAAAGGCACACAGGCTGCCGTGGGGAGCCTGAACTCTCCATCTTCCCTGTAGTTTGTGTCCTGGGGACAGGGACACAGGTTTCGGGCTTGTAGTCAAAACCCCCCCACCCCCAACTACTGCCAATGACAGAAGGAAGATTTGGGATTCTTCAAAGTGGCTTTGGTGCCCTGGATGCCTCTTAATATGGTCGAGCTCTAGCTTCTGTCCTGCAGAGGGGATGGAGCTTTGGGTAATGACAAGGAGTCAGGGAGTAGGACTCTTAGGGTACGTCTAAACTACATGGCTCCGTCGACGGAGCCATGTAGATTTGTTGTTTTGGCAAAGGGAAATGAAGTGGCAATTTAAATAATCGCCGCTTCATTTAAATTTACATGGCTGCCGCGTTGAGCCGACAAACAGCTAATCAGCTGTTTGTCTGCTCAGCGCGCTAGTCTGGACACTCCCCTGCCGACATCAAAGCCCTTTGTCAGCAGCCCTTGTAAACCTCATCCCACGAGGAATAACGGGGCTGCCGACAAAGGGCTTTGATGTTGGCAGGGGAGCATCCAGACTAGCGCACTGAGCCGACAAACAGCTGATCAGCTGTTTGACGGCTCAGCGCAGCAGCCATGTAAATTTAAATGAAGCAGCGATTATTTAAATCGCCGCTTCATTTCCCTTTGCCTATAACCCTAATCTACATGGCTCCGTCGACGGACCATGTTGTTTAGACACAGCCTGAGAGACAGATGAAAAAATGGATGGGGCATTAGAGAAAAGAAAGGGGAGAACAGATGAAGAAATGGATGGGGCATTAGAGAAAAGAAAGGGGAGAGGTTGAGGAATCAAAAAAGGGGAACAAGAGCACCTGCATCTGTCCCTATTTAACTGTCGAAAAGTTGTTCATCCCAACTTGAAAGGGCTGAGCTGGATTCGGAGCTACCGATGCCTCTGTGGGGGAGCTGAGGACCATTTCCATCCCTTTCCAAACAGCTGTGGCAGCACAAGGAGAAGGAAGGAAGCAGCGGGAACCTAGACTAGAGTCGTTTGCTGGACTCCTCTCTAGGCAGGCCCATCAATGTGTCAACAGGACTTCTGAGGATGGAGCAACCACCAACATTGCATCCTGCCTGTTTGCTGGAATGGTGCTGGCTGCCTTGGTCTCCTTTCCCCAGTGCACTGTCCTCCCTTGCCAGCAGGTGGGAACAGCCCCTCACTCAATACCCTCAGTCTTAGATTCCATCTGAACCTCTCTCTCCATAGTAGAAATCAGTAGAAAATTTCCTCTCAGATGTGATGATCCAGGATGGAATCAGTGGCTAAGCACATTTTTCTCTCTCCAGTGTCACCAGCGCTGGAGGGGGATGACGAACAGAACCTTCACTTGGTGAACATCTTGATGATCCTTGCACGGAGATGTTTGCTTTTCACGCTGTACACAATTGGGTTCATCAGGGGTGGGGCAAGCAGGGAGATGTAGCTCAGAAGAATGGGAAGCAAAGGAGAAGCGTCATTCGCAAATCTGTGTATCACGGACAAGCTGAACTCTGGAATGTAAAAAAGCAGGATGGCACAGAGGTGGGAGACGCAGGTGTTCAGGGCCCTGAGACACTCCATTTGAGATGCGATGCTCAGCACTGTTTTGAGGATCATCACATAAGAGAAGAAGATGAGCAGCACGTCCAACCCCATTGTTAATAATTTAAGGATCATGCCATATATGCCACATCCACTGATATCCGAACAAGCCAACTTCACAATGTCTTCATTCCGGCAGTAGGAATGGGAGAGGACATTGGATCGACAGTATTGGAACCGCCTCAGGAAAACGGGGAGCGGGAGTAATAGGGTAACTGATCTTATCACACTCACCAGCCCCATCTTAGCTATTCTTGGTAGGGTTAAAATGGAAGCATATCTCAGTGGGTTACTTATGGCGATGAAGCGGTCGAAGGACATGAACAAAAGCACGGCAGATTCAGTGCATTGGAGTGTGGCAATGAAGTACACCTGGGCAATACAGGCATGGAGGCTGATCTCTTTAAAGTTAAAGAAGTATATGCCCAGTATGGTTGGCATAGTGCCTATCAAAAAGCCCAGGTCTGTGAGGGCCAACATGGAAAGGAAAATGTACATGGGCTCATGGAGGCTTGGGTCTGTTTTTATAATGAACAGAATGACTGAATTGCCTACTATTGACATAGCATATATTAAGGCGAAGGGAATAGAGATCCAGAGGTGGGCATCTTCCTGCTGGTGTATCCCGGTCAGAAGGAACATGGTATGTGTGAATTCTGAGCCATTGACAGCTGACATCATATACTGAGCAGATACAAGCAGTTTGGACCTTTTCTTCCTGAAAGGAACAAGAAGAGACTAAATGATATTTAAGAAGACAGTTTTCTGCTCTCAGTGCAGGTCACCACACGCTCAACACTTCAAGGAACATCAGTCAGACATAGTCTTGGATTTACAGCACTGGCAGAAAGATAGGCCCAACTGGATCAGACATGAAGTTCATCGAGTCAGGATTCAGTGGTCAATTCCAGATGCTTTGGAAGAAGAGGCATTGCAATGGGCAGGGATGACAAAACCTGCTCTCATAGAATGTTTCCCCCAACTCCCACAGATTAGACACGTTTTGGGGTGAAAATCTGGAATTTTTAGAGAGCTTCCAAAGGTTTTTAATCTGTCCTCTCCACTGCTATCAGATTTTCTGGTTACCAAGATAAATATCAGGTCCCTGCTTGAATCCCCTAAAGCACGTAGATCCTTTCGTACCTTGTGGCTGGGAGTTCCGCAGCCTACATGAGCACTGTGAGAATTTACATTTATGACCATCCCATAGACATCGTTTCTGTCCCTCCACTTCTACATGTGGCCCATGGTAGCATGATGTGTGCAAACATATGGCAAGTGAATAGTGAAAACAGTCTTTCATTGTATTTACCTTTCATTGAATCTATTTATAAATGTGTCTGTGCAGTAGATAGTGGAAACTCTTATGGGTTCTTAATTCACTAAGATTGATTTCAGTGTCATCACTCCAGATTTATAGGTGTGAATTCAATACAAGTCTCTTAACTTTTCTTCAGCACAGTGACCGACTCTGAGCCCCATCAGAAAAAACGAGAAGTTCTGTGGCACCTTATAGGCTAACAGATTTATTGGAGAATAAACTTTCATGGGCAAAGACCCACTTCGTCAGATTCATGCATCTGTGTTCAGGACCACGGAGAGCGGCAGAGGGACACATGCTTTCTCTCATGCATCTGACAAAGTGGGTCTTTGCCCACGAAAGTTTATACTCCAATAAATCTGTTAGTCTGTAAGGTGCCATAGGACTTAGAATCATAGAATCATAGAACTGGAAGAGACCTCAGAAGGTCATCAACTCCAGCCCCCTGCTCTAGGCAGGACCAATGCCAACTAAATTGGACTTCTCGTTGTTTATGCAGATTCAGACTAACACGGCTACCCCTCTGATACCTCTGAGCCCCAGGAATCCCTCAAATGGAAGATGAAGTGTTTTGCCTGCTAGTTTTGTCTGAATCCAGAAACATGGATCATCCTACTGGCTTCTCTTCCTCCTCCCTGGATCTGCATGTTCTCTCCAGGCAAGGGAGAGGTCGGTTCTAAGCTAACACAGACAGCAACTTCAGCTGATGAAAGAAGGTGTGGAGACCACAAATTGGTGACTTGGGAAAACACTACATTTCCTCTAATAGCCACTTGAGTGTGCCAATTACTTCAGCCATGTGCCTTCCAAAGCTGATAGGCATAAACAGCCACCATAACACTCCCTTTGCTGAAACAAACACCGGCAATTTTTTCGTAAGTATTGTTCAAGTTTTGCACAAGTTTTCAAAGCCGTCGGTCAGTGTGCACCTCAGGGAATCAATGAATGGAAAACGCATTTGCTGATTGTGTTTCCAGGTGAAAATAAACAAGAGGTGATTTGGCAACTTAGCCCTTGGCAGGATCCCACCGCACGGCACCTCTCAAAATGGGACCCATTGAGAAATCCTGACTCAGAACATTGAGTCTACACAGAGGTTCACTCTCATTGAAAACCTCTGTGTAGTTAAAAAAAAAACCTCTACGTAGCATGGGAAGATGTAGCAGAGATATCCTGGGTACCTACCATTGCCTGCCCCAATCTCCCAGCCCCATCACTGAATCACCCCGACAACCCAACTGAGTCCTCTGCCGCTGCACAAAACATCTGTCAATGCAAACAACCTGCAGCCTTCGCCCTGCACTTGGCATGTTACAGACAGTGAAACCTGACAACGTACCCAGTTCCTGCTAGAAGGGAGCTGCTGACACCAGAGGTCTTGACCTGAAAGCACAAGGAGTCATCAGAGAGGTTGCACAGGGAGCAGGCAGTGTGTGTTCAGATAGCAAAGGCAACTGCCTTTATGCAGCATGTTTGTACCTTCCCTTGGGGGCCATTTGGCCACCGGGAAACCTCAGCTGTTTGCTTTTGTGTGCACCAGCTTTAATCCCCATCATGGTTGAGGACAAACTGCAGGAGGCCAAAACATGGGGGAAAGTTCTGGTGCTAAACAGCTGGCCCGCAGCACCAGCTCAGCTGCAGACTCTGTCCCTGGAATCCCAGCTTGTTAGCACTGTACTTTTGTGTCTGATTAGACCATTGCCTGCCTTGTGGACAGCTGAATGGTAAAGGTAATGTGGGTAGAGCTGTGATCTCACCTAACTAATTAACTCACTAACTAACTAAAGCACTACATTTCTTTGAGGCACCCCCTGATCTGTATGTCACCCAGAATGCTGGACAGGGAATGGAATTTCCACAAAGCTCCATCCATGGAAATTTCCTTCAGATTGTGGCAGAATATTGCATAGGAACTATTGGACAAAAGTGTATTAGTGATGGCTACTAGTATGGTGCATTGGGACTAGACAGAGTGACTGACCCCTGAGGGTGTGCAGGGTTCCTGGGATGTGCCAAAAGACAATGAGAAGAGGAAGTGTCAGTTCCCTGATAGATGAAAGACTCACTGCCTGAATATAAGAAACTGACATTTAGATGGACAGACACAGCTGAGAAAACAGGGGAATATGGGCCCTCCCATGGTGTTCACATTACAATATACCACAAAGAATATAGCACTGAGTATACAGATTAATTATATCTCCTCTGTGGATAACATTAACAAAATAAAGCTGGACTTATCTCAGAATACAGATCTAAATAATGCGGTTAGGTACTAGGAAATCTGTTCTCTTAACTTTTGCTTGGATTTGCAGATTTAACTTATCTGTATTCACGTAATATTGAGTAATGGTTCTCAAACTAACTGTAAGTTTAACCACAAAGGCCTTTCTTAATCCTTACACAATACATATCTCGAAAAATAACAAGAAAATAACAAGAAAAATAATAGAAGAAAAAAGAAATATATTTTAATCCTATATTTATCACACTACTTTTGCTAAAGCTAGTTCATACAGGATAAATTAGGTCCTGTGGGTCTTGCATTACTGGCATACTATTAAAATATATCAAGAAAAGGATAGGATAGGAAAGATTTATCTTGGTAGGCCATAGAGACAAGCAAGGAAGAAGGGTTGCAGTGGGGAGGTCTAGGTTGGCTGTTAGGAAAAACTATTTTACTAAGAAGGTGGTGAAGCACTCGGATGGGTTCCCTAGGGAGGGGGTGGAATCTCCATCCCTAGAGGTTTTTAAGTCCAGCTTGACAATGCCCTGGCTGGGATGATTTAATCGGGGATGGTCCTGTTTTGGGCAGGGGATTGGACTCAGTGACCTCCTGAGAGCTCTTCCAATTCTATGATTCTATGATTCTAAGGCATACAGTACTCCAATTAAATCAAGCACACGCCTTCCAAATATTTCCAAACACCTGCTTACTGGGTGTATTGGTAATTAATAACAAGACGGCCATTAGCCATATGGGGTATGTCTACACTACATGGCTCCGTCGACATAGCCATGTAGATGAGCTTTGTAGACATAGAAAAATGAAGCGGTGATTTAAATAATGTGCCAATCAGTTGTTTGTCAGCTCAGGGTGGTAGTCTGTATGCTCAGGGGTCAACATCAAAAGCCTTTGTCGAACGCTCCATTTTACTTCGTGGGATGAGGTTTACCGAGGGGGTTGACAAAGGCTTTTGATATCTACAGCCGAGTGTCCAGACTACCGTGCTGAGCTGACAAACAGCTGATCAGCACAGCACGGCAACCATTTTGATGAAAATGAAGTGGCGATTATTTATATCACCACTTCATTTTGCTGTGTCTACAAAGTTCATCTACATGGCTCCATTCACAGAGCCATGTAGAGTAGACATACTCATGCATGGCTGTGTCTACACTGGGCCACTTATTCTGGAAAATCAGCCGCTTTTCCGGAATAAGCTGTGAGCTGTCTACACTGGCCCTTGAATTTCCAGAAAAGCAACGATGCTCTACTGTACAAAATCAGCCGCTATTCCGGAAAAACTATTCTGCTCCCGCTCGGGCATAAGTCCTTATTCCGGAACACTGTTCCGGAAAAGGTCCAGTGTAGACAGTCCAGTAGTCTTTTCCGGAAAAAAGCCCCGATCGCGAGAATGGCGATCGGGGCTCTTTTCCAGAAAAGCGCGTCTACATTGGCCACAGACGCTTTTCCGGAAAAAGGGGTTTTCCGGAAAAGCAGCCTGCCAATATAGACGCTCCTTTTCCGGAAAAACTGAAAACAGAATAGTATTCCGTTTTAAGCATTTCCGGAAATTCTTGCCAGTGTAGACACAGACATGATGTCTCCAGATGGTAGCTTATGGAATGCAGTATATAAAAAGGATGGTCAATGTGCTGAGTAATTAGCAATGGCCCACTGAATGGTTAACAGACTCCCATGTATGAAGAAAATGGATTGTACGTTGGAAGAAACCCCTTGGATTTCACGAGGATCACTCCATTCTCACAGGGGACTGGAGGACCAGGATGCTAAAGCATCACCCTGGAAAAGAGAAATGAGCTGCAATGACCCGAGTGAAGTTTGTTAACAGAGATTATGTTAATTAGAAATAAACGGAACACATTTGATCTAGGAATGGAGGCGCCCTTCATTTCTAAACATTTTGATTGTTCGGGGCAAAACATATGAGTGTTCTCACAACTAACTTAGTTATTAGAGGGACGTCATTTAAAATGTTGAAGTGGACAATGGATAATACAGTGTTCAGCCCCTAATGGCACATGGATGTTTGATTTTAGTAGTGTGTTTATTTGTGAGGTTGACCACTGAAATATTTGGGAGAAATATGACATGAAAGAGTCCAGCCGAGTGAAGTGAGTCTAATGTAAGCAAAGTTCTTATTGAAGGAAGTGTTTATTGGGGACCCGACCCTTCATTTTAAAAATGAAAATTGGCTGGGAACAAAAATATATGGAGTAGTCCGTTGCTCTAGGATACTTTGGGAATAATGGGAAGAATCGGCTGATAAGGGTGAAAGTATAAAACAAAATGCAATATGCTCAGTTAGCAAACATACTATCTTATGGCATAATGATCCAATATTAAACAAGGAGGAGGGGAAAGAATTGACAGTCCACCATATGTATAAGTGACATCATTGGAGTCTGACATAAACATACAAAACCTTGTTGTCACCACTGCTGTATGTGTGTACCAAATCTTACACAAAATGGCCCAAGTGAGATGTCTATAAAAATCTAATGATTTGCTGATTCTACTTATACTGCTCACACGCATGATTCATTTTTGCATTTGGAGATTTGAGGATTGGCTCTTCACTTCTGTTTCGGATGTCTGCTTCTGGGAGACATCGACGTATTGACCAGGACCAACCACAGTTCAGGCTTACAGGGAAAACAAGACTATTCACAGATCCTCATCTTGAGCAGCAGGCCATTAAGTTCCTCAAGTACTACTAATGGTTTTCACTGGAAGATATGTATTAATGAACAGATTTACACCTTATATATCTAACGCATCATACAGGAATGATACATGCACGTAAATAGGATATACACAATCAGGTGGTTACGAGGTCTTCAATGATAGGTTACAATGCCCTCTTTTGCATGAAGTATATTGGAGTTATGCATATTCATATTAAAACATATTTCCATGAAAATATATCACAGCAGAATGTCAGTAGGGCAACAAAGATCGCTCCCTTAAGGACTCAGATACAAGCACACAACCCTTCCCTTAAACATTCTTGCAATGACTTACTCTTAGTCTGGGAAAATTTAACAAGACCCTCTTAGTGAGGTTGCATTAATTCAATCTCCTCAAAAGCACAGGATTTCCTACCCACCTGCTCCATCATCCTCCTGTACTCAAGAGCAACTCCTCCCCCACCGAGCTACATCAGGAATTTGTCGACAGAGGCAATACAAATTAAGCATTCATTATCATTTCTCACACTATCATTTGCATAGTCTCTCGTGATCCTTTTTGCAGAAGAGGTTTTTGCACAAAAATGCAGTATAGACGAGGCCATTTTGCAAGAAAAAAAACCCTTTTGTGCAAGATCCCATTTATCGCCTTTGTCCCCTCCACCTTTGTCCCCTAGTCCCTTTCCCTTCTCCTCCAAGCCCCCAGATGCTCCCCAGCCAAGCCACAGATGGTCAGTGGTCAGAGTTACAAAGGTGCACAGGCTGTCGTGGGGAGCCTGACCTCTCCATCTTCCCTGTAGTTTGTGTCCTGGGGACAGGGACACAGGTTTCGGGCTTGTAGTCAAAACCCCCCCACCCCCAACTACTGCCAATGACAGAAGGAAGATTTGGGGTTCTTCAATGTAGCTCTGGCACCCTGGGTGACTCTTAATATGGTCAAGCTCTAGCTTCTGTCCTGCAGAGGGGATGGAGCTTTGGGTAATGACAAGGAGTCAGTGGGTAGGACTCTGAGAGAACAGATGGAGGAATGGTTGGGGCCTTAGAGAAGGGGAAGGGGAGAGGTTGGGGAATCAAAAAAGGGGGGCAAGAGCACCTGCATCTGTCCCTATTTAACTTTCAAAAAGTTGGTCATCCCAACTTGAAAGGGCTGAGCTGGATTCGGAGCTACCGATGCCTCTGTGGGGGAGCTGAGGACCATTTCCATCCCTTTCCAAACAGCTGTGGCAGCACAAGGAGAAGGAAGGAAGCAGCGGGAACCTAGACTAGAGTCGTTTGCTGGACTCCTCTCTAGGCAGGCCCATCAATGTGTCAACAGGACTTCTGAGGATGGAGCAACCACCAACATTGCATCCTGCCTGTTCCCTGGCTCCCCTCAAATATAGCCACGCTGAAATGGTGATCGCTGCCTTGGTCTCCTTTCCCCAGTGCACTGTCCTCCCTCGCCAGCAGGTGGGGACAGCCCCTCACTCAATACCCCCGATCTTAGATTCCATCTGATCCTCTCTCTCCATAGTAGAAATCAGTAACACATGTCCTTTCAGATGTGATGATCCAGGATGGAATAGGTGACTCAGCACATTTTTATCTCTCCAGTGTCACCAGCACTGGAGAGGGATGACAAACAGAACCTTCACTTGGTGAACATCTTGATTATCCTCGCACGGAGATGTTTGCTTTTCACGCTGTACACAATTGGGTTCATCAGGGGTGGGGCAAGCAGGGAGATGTAGCTCAGAAGAATGCGAAGCAAAGGAGAAGTGCCATTCGCGAATCTGTGTATCACGGACAAGCTGAACTCTGGAATGTAAAAAAGCAGGATAGCACAGAGATGGGAGACGCAGGTGTTCAGTGCCTTGAGGCACTCTGCTGGAGATGCAATGCTCAGCACTGTTTTGAGGATCATCACATAAGAGAAGAAGATGAGCAGCACATCCAACCCCATTGTTAAGATTCTAACAATCAAGCCATACATGCCGCATCCTCTGATATCCGAACAAGCCAACTTCACAATGTCCTCATTCCGGCAGTAGGAATGGGAGAGGACATTGGATCGACAGTATTGGAACTGCCTCAGGAAAACGGGGAGAGGGAGTAATATGGTAACCGATCTTATCACACTCACCAGCCCCATCTTAGCTATTCTTGGTAGGGTTAAAATGGAAGCATATCTCAGTGGGTTACTTATGGCGATGAAGCGGTCGAAGGACATGAACAAAAGCACGGCAGATTCAGTGCATTGAAATGTGGCAATGAAGTACACCTGGGCAATACAGGCATGGAGGCTGATCTCCTTAAAGTTAAAGAAGTATATGCCCAGTATGGTTGGCATAGTGCCTATCAAAAAGCCCAGGTCTGTGAGGGCCAACATGGAAAGGAAAATGTACATGGGCTCATAGAGGCTTGGGTATGTTTGCTTTTCACGCTGTACACAATTGGGTTCATCAGGGGTGGGGCAAGCAGGGAGATGTAGCTCAGAAGAATGCGAAGCAAAGGAGAAGTGCCATTCGCGAATCTGTGTATCACGGACAAGCTGAACTCTGGAATGTAAAAAAGCAGGATAGCACAGAGATGGGAGACGCAGGTGTTCAGTGCCTTGAGGCACTCTGCTGGAGATGCAATGCTCAGCACTGTTTTGAGGATCATCACATAAGAGAAGAAGATGAGCAGCACGTCCAACCCCATTGTTAATAATTTAAGGATCATGCCATATATGCCACATCCACTGATATCCGAACAAGCCAACTTCACAATGTCTTCATTCCGGCAGTAGGAATGGGAGAGGACATTGGATCGACAGTATTGGAACCGCCTCAGGAAAACGGGGAGCGGGAGTAATAGGGTAACTGATCTTATCACACTCACCAGCCCCATCTTAGCTATTCTTGGAAGGGTTAAAATGGAAGCATATCTCAGTGGGTTACTTATGGCGATGAAGCGGTCGAAGGACATGAACAAAAGCACGGCAGATTCAGTGCATTGGAGTGTGGCAATGAAGTACACCTGGGCAATACAGACATGGAGGCTGATCTCCTTAAAGTTAAAGAAGTATATGCCCAGTATGGTTGGCATAGTGCCTATCAAAAAGCCCAGGTCTGTGAGGGCCAACATGGAAAGGAAAATGTACATGGGCTCATAGAGGCTTGGGTCTGTTTTTATAATGAACAGAATGACTGAATTGCCTACTATTGACATAGCATATATTAAGGAGAAGGGAATAGAGATCCAGAGGTGGGCATCTTCCTGCTGGTGTATCCCGGTGAGAAGGAGCACGGTATGTGTGAATTCTGATCCATTGACAGCTGACATTATAAACTGAGTAGATACAAGGAGTCAAGCAAACTGAACAGAAACTTTAATATACATAAGATACCTTTTCTTCCTGAAAGGAACAAGAAGAGACAAAATTATTTAATAAGACAGTTTTCTGCTCTCAGCGTAGGTCAACACACACCCAGGATCTCAATGAATTTCAGTAAGACATAGTCTTGGATTTACAGCACTGACAGAAAGATAGGCCCAACTGGATCAGACATAAAGTCCATCAAGTCAGTATTCAGTGGACAGTTCCAGATGCTTTGGCGGAAAAAGTCTTGCAATGGGCAGGGATGACAAAACCATCTCTCACAGAATGTTTCCCTCCAACGCCCACAAGTTAGACACATTGTGGGGTGAAAATCTGGAATTTTTAGAAAGCTTCCAAAGGTTTTTAATCTGTCCTCTGCACTGTTATTAGATGTTATGGTTACCAAGATAAACATCTGGTCCCTGCTTGACTCCCCTATAGCTCCTAGACCCATTAGTATCTTGTGGCTGGGAGCTCCGCAGCCTACATGAGCACTGAGTGAATTTACATTTATGACCATCTCATAGACATTGCAAGTGTATAGTGAAAACAGTCTTTCATTGTATTTATCTTTCATAGAATCTATTTATAAATGTGCCTCTTTGTAGTAGATAGTGGAAATCCTTAAGGGTTCCTATTTAATAACATTGATTTCAGTGTCCTCACTCTAGATTTATCGGTGTTAATACAATTCAAGTCTCTTAACTTTCCCTCAGTACATGTTCCCGGTGATTGACTCTGAGTCCCAGGAATCCGAGAGAAGCTGAAGTGATTTGCCCACCGGTGTCTTCTGACTTTAGAGATATGGAGCATCCTACAGGTGTCTCTTCCTCCTCCCAGAACCTTCATGTTCTTCCCATGGAAGTGTCTGGTACGTTCTAAGCTCACGCAGACAGTAACTTCAACTGACGGGAGAAGGTGTGGACACCACAAATGGGTGACCAGAGCAAACACTAGATTTCCACTAAGAGCCACTTGAGTCTGTCAGTTACTTCAGCCATGCTCCTGCAAAAGCTGATGGGCATAAACAGCCACCATCACATTCCCTTTCCTGCACCTCAAATCAGCTCTTTGCTGAAACAAGCGTGGGCAGTTTTTTTATTTTCCTCTCAGGACTTTTTCATGTGTTTTGCCCGGGTTTTACACAAAGATTTGTTTTCCTGAAGCTCCCAAATATTGGTGTAACAAACAGTTTCTGGTCAGTTTCCAGGAGACAATGTCATGGGACTGTTCACCGAAAAAAGTCTTAGTAGCACAACATGGTTGTAAACTCCCTTAGGAGTTCTGAAATACTTTCTAACACAAAAGTCATGTCCTTCCAGTAGGAATTCCAACAACTATGCTACTGGCTTTCGATATACTTGCATAGCACCAGAGACATTATTTCACTTAATGTTTCCACACTGTATTTTAGCAAACACATGATAGCCCATTCTTTCCCCTTTCAACTTCCTTAAAAGATGATTTCTCAGGCAGGAAGGGGACTTAAAATGAAGCAGCTTCTCAGGCTATGCCTATATGTACCACACTGAAGATCAACCTTCTGGAATTTGATTTAGCGGGTCTAGTTGAGACCCACTAAATCAAATAGTGAGTGCTGTCAGACATGAGAGTTGATAGCTGATTGTTTCTCCTCAGGTTGTGTTCTGGCAGTCTGTCTCTGGAGCAGTAACAGGCAATGTAATCAATATATAAAGTATTTATTCTCTGAACCCGCACTCTCTGGTTCACAATAACCCCAGCGCCTGTTATTCGGGCCTGGTGAGGATTTGCAGAAAGTTTAATATCTGAGTATTCATGGAAATGGCACTTCATTTCTCACAAGAGAGTTACCTATTTCTCCCTCTCTCCCTCTCTCTCTCTCTCTTTCTCTCTCTGTGTGTTCTGGATACATAAAATTCAGAGCACCCAGGAGAGCCACTGGAACAAACATGGAGCTGGTTCTCTCTGTGTTCTGGATACATAAAATTCAGAGCACCCAGGAGAGCCACTGGAACAAACATGGAGCTGGGCTGCCCTAAGGAATGGGTAGATTAAGCTCAGCTCTTGGGATGTTTGCTATAAGGCTACATTGGATTAACTATGGGGATGTATCAGAGATTGCTCTATTGGATGTAACCTGTCTAGCTCTTCTTACTTTAAGAGCAGGTTGCTGGAAAAAAAGCAGGAAGGGAAGCAACAGCTCATGCAAAGCCATCGCTCAGCGAGTACTTCATTTGCATTTGTTTCCAGACGAAAATAAACCTGAGGTGATCAGGCAACTCGGCCCTTAGCAGGATCTCACCCAGAGCACATGGCACTTCTTGAAATGGGACCCACCGAGAAATCCTGACTTGGGGCATTGAGGGTTTAACACTCCACTCTCATTGTGAACCTCTGGGTAGTTTTAAAAAACCCTCTATAGAACGTGGGCAGACATAGCAGAGCAGTTCCCGGGGAGCCGAGTCACCCCCACAGCCCAGTTGAATCCTCTGCTGCTGCACAGAACAGCTGCCAATGCAAACAGCCTGCAGCCTTCACCCTGCACTTGGCATGTTACAGACAGTGAAACCCGCCAACGTACCCAGTTCCTGCTAGGAGGGAGCTGCTGGCACCAGAGGTCTTCACCCTGAAGCACAAGGAGTCATCGGGGAGGTAGCCTAGACAGAAGACAATGTCTGTTCAGATAGGGAGGCAAATGTCTTTATGCAGTATGTTTGTACCTTTCCTTGGGGGCCACTTGGCCATCAGGGAACCTCAGCTGCTTGGCTTCGTGTGCACCAGCTTTAACCCCTATCATGGCCGACGATACATTGTAGGAGGCCAAATCATGGGGGAAGTGTACTGGTGTAAAACAACCTGCCTGCAGCACGAGCTCTGCTGCACACTCTATTCCTTGAATACCAGTTGTCAGCACCGTATGTTTGGGTCTCATTAGTCCCATGCCTGCCTCGGGGACAGTTGAATAGTAAAGATGATGCTGTTACAGCTGTGATCTCACTTAACTAACTAACGAACTAACACTAATTAACTAACTAAAGGACTAGCTTTCCTTGATGCAGCCCCTACCAGAATGCTGGGCAGGGAAGGGAATTTCCAAAAAGCTCCATCTATGGACATTTCCCCCAGACTGCTGCAGAAGATTGTGTGGGAAAGATTGGACGAAAGTGTATTACTGATGGATACAGACTGGTGCATCAGGTCCAGACAGAGGGACTGACTTCTGTGGATGTGCTGGGTTACTGGAGAGTGTGCCCAAGGACAATGAGATGAGGAAATGTCAGTTCCATGATAGATGAATGAGTTCCTGCCTGAATATAAGAAAATGAAATTAAGATGGTCAGACACAGCTGAGAAAACAGGA